TTTTGAATTTTGAATTGTTATGGGTCATTCTGAAACTTTTGCTTGGGATTTTTTTTTTTTAGTTTTACTTTTTCCCTTTTATTTTACCATATTTTTTTCCCCCTATTTTAGTACTCTTGAATTGGCACATTTGGTTTATATAATAGGTAAAAATAGTTGGGAGCTCTTCGGACCATGATTGATGATGTGTTGCTGTGTAAAAGTATATTGATCTAGGTGCTGATTTTTCTGCTTTCTAAGGTCTTGATTGTTTATGAAATAATTTATTCAATTTTATTTCATACTCAAAATTTAACTCAATTTTAATTTAACCTCACTATATTTAATATTATTTATATAATTAAATAATACAAACTAATTATTCTTACATATCATATCAAATTTAATTCATTATTCATCCACTCACATAATTTTAACTACTATCATATCTAATCATTTTCATTTATTTATCTTCTACTTTTATGTCAAATCAATTTTAATCATTTTATTTTAAATATTATTTTAATTTATTCTTAAAATTCTACTAATAACTAACTGTATCACATTTTTTAAAATTAACTATAGTTAATCAAAATAACTCATTTTAAACAAATTGTGATTTCATAAGCAATCAAGTCCTAAAACATTGATTTTTCTAAGAGTAGTTATTAAAATTAGACTCAACCATCATTTATAAAGGTGTCGGGTTAGTTGAAATGGACCAACCTCTGTGTCTCATATATTCAGCTTTTACATTTTGGGAAAGACTGCTTTCCATCTTTAGTCTTTACACTCGTTTCCATAAGGGTGTTGCTAAATACCGCACCTTTTTTGCTAAATACCGCACCCCAATTTACATTTTTACCCTTTTTATAAAAAAAAAAACAAAATAAAAAACAAAAAATGGAGAAGTAATTATATTTTTGCAGAATAACTACTTAATTGTTACTAGAAATATAATACTACCTATTCTAAACGTGTATATATTATATAACTGTTACTAGAAATATACCCTTTCAATACTTAATTTTTACTAGAAATATAACTGTTTCTAAAAAAATATAATACTTAACTGTGCATTGCGAATATATTATAAATCGTGGAAAATAATGCCCAATTGTTACCAAAAATATACTAAACGCTGGGAACATTTTATATTTCAAGAAAAAACGAATCAATTGGAGAATAAAGTATATTCTGCAGAATAAATACTAAATTGTTACTAGAAATATAATAGAACCTTTTCTACTGCGTGCCGTATGCTTTCGTGACCATCCGAAACAATGCAAAGACCGTCCCTATCACCAACTACTTCATGCAATTTTGTGAAAAACCAGAGGTAGGA